TTTCCTCTTCTTGCATAGTTTGTTTCCTCCAAGTTGATTATTTTGGTCTGTCACATGAACAGTTTTTCTTAGGTGTCTGGACACCTTGCTCGCTCAATTAAAAAAAATGATTGTAATGTACAGAGGGGTTACAGTTACATAGGTAAGGTCCAAGTACATTTCTTTTTGAACAGTGTTATCCCCTCCCTCGTTTTCACCCATTTGCTTGCTCAATCTTATTTAAACATATTAGAAAGCTGTTGAGAGCTGGTGGCTCATGCCAGTAATTCTAAGATACTCAGGAGGCTGCGATCTGAGGATCATGGTTTGAAGCCAGCCCGGGCAGGAAAGTTCACAAGACTTTTATCTCTAAATAACCACCAATAAGCCAGAAGTGGAGTTGTGGCTCAAGTGGTAGAGAGCTAGCCTTGAGCCCAGCCTTTAAGTTCAAGCCCCAGGACTGGCATAAAACAAAAGTATCTAAGAGGATGATTGGAGGCTCAGTGCATAAATGAGGCTGTCCACTGCATGCTTCACTTGAATGCAGGGCTTTCCAAACTTTCTGCACACTGAAATCATCTGGGAGGTTTTTATTTAAAACTAGGATGTCTCAGAATCTCTGGAGTTGGGGCTTTGGGGCTGGTGGTTTGAAAAGTAACCCAGGTGGTTCTAATTGGAGAGTGGAGCGCTCAGGTCTGGGATAATTCAGTTCAGCTGTGTTGAGAAACAATCATAATAGTAAAAACATAAGTAGATTCTGGAAACTTGTAATCAGATGTGTCAAATACAGTGTTCTATTTCTCTTCCTTTGAATGAGAAACACTGGGGGGTAATACAAGTTTGTATATAGAGTTGTGTTCTCTCTTGACAGGAGTTAATTCTAAACGAAGTATTTCTTGAGGGAAGAATGGAGACAACTTTTTGTTCTGATGATCATTCATTCTTAGAGGACACAAGACAAACCTGTTTGTGCCCTTAGCTCTGTTCTCTGGTAATTGGTCAGGTTGTCCTGTGAAGAATTTTCCAACCTCTGGATTTTGTTTTTGTCAAATTTATGAAATCTCAGTGGGAAAGGAGAATGCATATCTTGATATACAATATTTAGGTTTTAATTAATTTCCTATGTTGGGTACAGTTCCTCTGTCCCCACAGAAAGGGAAATACTCAGTGTCCTCCCAGCCGAGAATCTGACTTTTTGTAGAGGACCAGTGTCCAAATCTTCCACTGAGGCAGGAAGGGTGAGTAGCCAACTGTGCACAATGGCAGATGTCATCGGGTCTGAATTAGAGTGCTTCTGTGATTTAAACCCCACTTTCACCCCTCACACTAGGCGGTTCCTTGTGTGCAGTCCCTCCATTTTGGGATGGAGGTTGGGCCTCAACTTTCTCACTCAACATTTGTGGCTCATCAATTACCACCTTCCAAAGTCTTGTTCCTATGTGTTAATTTCTTTGAAGGGTCCCTTTTTGGCCTGGTTGAGTGGAGCTCAGTGGTAGAGAGCATGTACAAGGCCCTGGATTCAGTTTCAAGCACCTAAAAGCAATAAGAAGAGAAAAAAAATCCCTTTATAATTAAAAAAATTAAAAAAAATTGTGTGTGTGTGTGTGTGTGTGTGTGTGTGTGTGTGCGTGCGTGCGCGCGTGCCAGTACTGGGGCACAACCAATAAAAATTAAAGAAAAAGTACTCTAAGGCTTCACACTTTTTTTTTTTTTGGTGGGTTGGGGGGCTTGGGTGCTGTCCCTCAGCTCTTCAGCTCAAGGCGAGCACTCTACCGTTTGAGCCACAGCACCACTTCCGGTTTTCTAGTGGTTTATTGGAGATAAGAGTCTCATGGGCTTTTGTGCCCGAGTTGTCTTTGAACAGGTCTCAGCTTCCTGAGTGGCTAGGATGACAGGTATGAGCCACTGGCACCCAGCTCCTTTATGATTTTATGGGCTTTGTAGAGGAGTCACAAGGGAGCGTGCTCAGCCCAGCGATTTTTTGTAGGTGGTGCCCACATTGCTATAGGAAGGGCTGTATGTGACTTTGTATGGACATGTGACTTCAATTTTAGGCCAGGGCTTACTTAGCCATTTTAACCGTTCATTCTTCAGGTGTGATTTATAGTCCACCCCAATCACTGGTTCGTTGTGAACTAAACGAAACAGTCTTTTGGAACCTTCCAGGCAGTGAGCTGAGAGAGTGTTGATGGGACAAGGTCACTCGTTTGAGAGCACCATGCTCCTCCGTCAGCTCGGAAGGAGACGAAGATCTCCCAGATGCCGCTGAGTGGTGAGCTGGGGCAAATGCTCTCACTACATGTGGGTTCCATTGCCAGTGGTTGCTGGACTGCTTTATGGACAGTCTTTCTAGGGGAGAGCTACACTTACATATTTGATTCCCTTTGGCCTAAACATTGTGTCTCCTGTGGTCCAATGCCAAACTTTTAAATTTGAACTCTGAGTCATGGGTTGAGAAATGCATTGGGTGGAAATAAAAGTTTGTCATGTCCAGGGAGGTCCTGAGGGATATGCGTGGTTCTGCTTTTGACCAAGGAGTTCAAGTGGGACTCGGGTGGGGGAGGGGCCAGGGTTTGGGAGGCAGGAGGGGCATCTATGGCCAGGCTCAGGCCCCTGTTACTTGAATGAGACCCCAGACAGCAGGTGGGGAGGGAGACACCGGAAATCCGGACTCTTGGTTGATGGGCAGGGGGCCAAGTCAGTGAACTTTTGATGAACCATTTCCAAGTTACATCCTCCCTAAGGAAGAGGCCGTGTTCCAAGACAGGCCCCGTCTAGTTACGAACTCTGCGAGTGAAGAACCCCCTCTTCCATGGCTAGCTTTCTCTGTAAAAAGACAGACAGCTAACATTTTAGGCTCAAGGGCCTTCAGGACTCTGCCTCATTTTCTTTTTCTCCCTCCATGTTTTCTTTTTGTTTCCCACACCTCTGAAGTGCAAAGCTACTCTTTGCTTGCTCACCATACCCAGAGAGGCTGCGGGCTGCCTTGCCTGGCCGATTACTCCTAGGAATCCTTATCATCTGAATCATTATCTTATTTTGTTTAGTGTTGGCTTCTCTGCCACGATGTGAACATCTCAAGGGACAAGATCTTGACTGTGTTTGTCTCTGAGGCCTAGGATGGTCTTGGTTGGTGGGGGAGGGGCCCTCTGTTACTGGCAGAGGAATGGACAAACTGATCAGTTACAAGCTCATCTGTGGTGACTCATCTCTGAAATGGGCTTTCTCCTATTCCCCAAACCCCAGAAAAAAACCCAAACTGTGCTTTCTGGGAATCTCATCTGCAGAACAATGAGGGAACTTGATCTGCCTGACTTGATCTTGTCCTGTGTGGTATCTTGAGCAGCTTGGAGGTAAAGCAAAAGGTGCAGCTGGGTATGGTGGCTCAAGCCTGTCATCCTAGAGACTTAGGAAGTGGAGAGTGGGAGAATCAGTTTGAGGCCAGCCAGGGCAGAAAGGTTGGAGAGACCCCATCTCAATCAGTGGTTGGGTATTCCAGCTATGGAGGAAGCTCAATGGCTAGGTGCAGGGGCAGTCATCATACAGCATGAAGAAGCACTAGTAGGAGGATTGCAGCCCAGGCTGGCCTGGACATAAAAGTGAGACCTTGCGTTGGAAAGAATCAAGGCCAAAAGGGGCTGGAAACATGGCTTAAGTGGTAGAGTGCCTGCCTAGCGAGCATGAGGCCTTGAGACCAATTTCCAGACATACAGACAGTCAGACAGTCAGACAGACAGACAGACAGACAGACACACACACACACACACACACACACACACACACACACACACGCGGCTCAGGCACTGGGTCTGGCTCTCCCTTCTCCCCCTGCACCCTCCCCAGCTCATACCATCCTTTCTGGACTCAAGGATTGCCTTGTAACATGAGTCTGACTCTTGCTTCTTTTTTTTTTTTGGTCCGGTCGTGGGGCCTGAACTCTGGGCCTGGGTGCTGTCCCTCAGCTCTTCAGCTCAAGGCTAGCACTCTACCACTTGAGCCACAGCGCCACTTCCGGCTTTTTTTTAATGCTTATGTGGTGCTGAGGAATTGAACCCAGGGCCTCATGCATGCAAGGCAAGCGCTCTACCACTGAGCCACCTTCCCAGCCCCTGACTCTTGCTTCTCTCTTACTAGTTGACTGGCTCAGGAAGCATGATCGTGAATGTGGTTATACACATAGGCACTGGCTGCTCAGTACCAGGGCCGCTCTACCCACTCTGTAGCCTTGGCCCAGCCAGCCACTCCACCTGCGCTTAGCCAGACAAACCTCTCAGCTTCCCACTGCTGCTGCTGTACCTTCTTTTATTTATGCTGTTTCCTTCAGCTGGTATGTTTTCCTAAAACAGCTTTTTTTTTTTTGCAAACTCCTACATACCCTTCAAGACCCAACTCAACTGCTGCCAGCTTCTTTGTCCCCCACACATACTGAATCGCTTCCCTATCTGCATTCCCAATACACAGCTCTGGTTCTGTTGCCATCAACTTGAACTCATCTTTCTGGCCTTGGTCCTTAATGTCTGGCCCCTAAAGGCACTACTACTCCCTAAAGGTTTGCAGAATTAACTCTCAAGAATGCTGTTCATGCAGCAGATTTTGGGCAGCTGGAGGCTGGGCTCGAGCTGATGTTTTTTCCACTGGTTGTGACACTTGGCTTCATCACGGTCACCAGTGGGCATCTTTTTGGTGAGCCTTATGCACTTTGAGGGAGTTGGATAGCAAAACCAGGCAGCTGGGTCCTTTAACTGGCACCTGTCCTAGTGGTGCCTCAGGCCCACTGTGGCCATCTGGAGGAGGTGGAGCTGCAAGGCTGAGGGTAGGGACATGGGCTCAGTCCACTTTGGGTGGTAGGGAGACAGGTCTCAATGTCTGGACATCCATCTGTGTGGCAAAATGCTCGTTGGGTGAGTGAGTTGGCTCCCCTCTCTGGTTCCCTCTTTTTTCCATGGAAGTTCTCCCCCTCTCCTCCAAGATTCCTGCTGAGGTCCCTTTTCCAGAGCCATCTTGCCTGTGGTTCCCCAGAGAAAGTGTCTGCCATCAGCATGGACCCTCTTTCCCCTGGTGAGAACACCACTGACACTTTATATGCCCCTCCTATGCCAGTTCTCTTCCAGCTCCAACTTGGAGCCATTTCTGCAGCCTCCAGGCTCCAAAATACGTGCCACAGTCCTGGCGCCTCTCAACAACGGCAGTGCCCCGGACAGACTGGCCGGAGTTGGGTGGCAGGCACAGTGCTGGCCTGCACCTGGTCCATTGCTGCTAAGCATTTGCAACAGCCTCAGCTCCCCATTCCCTCGTGAGGCTCAGATGGTGACATGACCAGCTGTGGGGGAGCGCCACAGCCCACGTCTGAGGTCACCTGTAGACCATTCCTACACATACTGGTGACTTTCTGTGCTGGCCCGTGCCCTGCGCTGACCTGAAGTGCCAGGAAACAGTAACATCTAGAACATGCTCCAAATTCCCAACCAGTGAGGACAGAGGTTTGGTAGACAAACGCCACAGTTTCATAGCCTCGGTGAGTTAATTGGGGTGTTCTCACTAGTGTGTAGGGACTCTCTGGAGGGCTGAGCTACTCGTAGTGAGAAACACTCATGCACATACTGTTGTTGGCTCTCTTCCCTCCCTGCCACTCTTCTTTCCCCTCACCTACATTCCCTGGATTTGAGAGAAACTACCCACACCCAAGACATTGCAATCACCATTCAATTTTGGAGGAACTTAGAATAAGACCCTTGTCCATGTACCCCCATCTGCTACCTGGTCAAACTGAGGTTTGGTTATGTCAGCTGGTTGCTGGGCCTGGGGAAGTTTGTGGGTCTGCATCAGAGGCTCCTGGGCTGAGTGTGTTCACAGCCTCTGCACCTGGCTTCAGCATGATCTCTGTGACCTTGGCCCAAATGTGCTTGCTTTCTAGGATGTGGGAAGACAAAGTATTCTTGCCTCTGGGCAGGCTGTTAGCTGGAGGGAGAAAGAAGAGTTTGGATGTAGAGGAGGAAGAATGTTGTAGTTCAAATATGAAATGTCCCTCAGCCTCATATGTTGAGCTGGTGGTCTCCAGTGGGTGGCACTATTTGGGGAAGTTCTGGAAATTTTATGAGATGAGGCCTAGCTGGAGGAAGCAGGTTATTGGGGCATGACCTTGGGGTTTGGATCTTATTTTAGTGCCCCACCCATTTCCTGTCCACCATCAGGTGAGCAGCCTATGCCACACACTTCTTCCACCATGATGTGCTCACCCAGGGGATGCTGAGCCAAGGCTGTGGACTGAAACCATGATTCAGAATAAATCCTTCTTCCCTTAATGTTGTCCAGCTCAGGTATGTTGTCACAGCAATGGGAAGTGTGGCTAACATAAGAAGGGTGGAGGGCGCGTTCCCGGCCTTGTCTCTAGTGATTCATGTGTTTCTCCTTTTCCCCTCAGGTGCCTAGCTACTGCCTTCAGGAGCCATAAACTTGGGCAGGGAAAAGTGTGGCTAGCTGAACTTGCTTAGCGGGCTCTGTGTGGACCTGGAGGGTTGCAGATGCCCTGGTCCGGGCCCTGAAGGGCAGAAAGTAGCTTGGCAAGCCAGGCAGCGTTTCCTGGAAAAATTGCCACCATTTGAAGCCCAGGACGTGTGAGTTCTACATTGAGAATGACAGACTTTGAGTGTTTGTGACAGCTCAAGACAGAGGCTGGAGTGGCCCCGGGGATCCCTGGATTAGATGGAGGCTGGAGTGGCCCCGGGGATCCCTGGAGAAGGAGGAGGATCATTTAGAATCTGCAGGAAACAAAGGGGACACCCAAGTTGGGGACCTGGAGAGAATTCAGGGACTGTTTACAGGGGAGAGGAAAAGAAACCCACCTGAAGCGGGCAGGACCTCAGCACTAGCAGCAGAGAGCAGAGGGTAGACCACTCCTAGCTGGGAAGGGCCCAGATCTGCTGGCAGAAGGCAAGGAGCTGGTCCTTGCTGATCTGTATGTTGTCGAGGGGCAAGCAGATTCTCCTCCTGTCCCTTCCACCCCCATAAACCTCTTCCTAGAATTTCCATTAGAGAAGCCCATCAGGGAGCTGAGGCCATGGGTTAGGCCAGCCCTGGGACACAGAGCTAGGTAGAGAAGGATGTGGAAGCCATGGGAGACATAGCCCCCAGGGCTTTGGGTGTCTGGCTGAATTTGTATCTGGCAATGGTGGGATACAGAGGCAGCAGACTGATTTTTTGTTTTGTTTTGTTTTTTCAGTTGTGGAATTTGAACTCTGGGCCTGGGCACTGTCCCTCAGCTCTTCAGCTCAAGGCAAGCTCTCAACCACTTGAGCCACAGTGCCGCTTCCGGTTTTCTGAGAGGTTTATTGGAGATAAGAGTCTCCTAGGCTTTCCTTCCCTGGGGCTGGCTTTGAGCTGTGATCTTCAGATCTCAGCCTCCTGAGTAGCTAGAACTACAGGCGTGAGCCACCGGCGCCCCAGTGGGCAGCCTGTTTTTTACAATGGCACTGTTAACAACAACAGAAATGTGCCAGTCCTGGTTCTAAGTGTGCAGCTGTAATTTAGACCGGCCTCCTTCCCCTCTGTTCTTCTGTTCTCGGCTGAAAGCAGCCTGCATGTGGAGCCATGTCTCCCTCCACTTGCTCTTTAGCTTGTGTTTCACCCACCTTGAAAGAGCCATTTCCCAGGACTGCCGCTGATGGACACTTCTGCTGCTGGGAAGACAGAGAGGTGAAGTCTTCTCAAGTGGCATTCTGAATACCTGTGTCCTCACTTGAAAGGGGGATGTGAAGGGCTCCCATGCACTTACTGCCACAGCCCCTAAAATGCTGGATGCTCACTCACACTGCAGTTAAAACCCTTTGACATGCACAAAACCCACCCACTCCTCCTAAGTGAGGTGATGGACACAGCTGATCTGCTTTTGTCATTTCCAACTGAACTCACCATGCCAAGATCCGAGGGCATGTCCACATCCATCTACTGGGTGGGGGGCCTGAAGATGGATGCATTTAGAATAGTCTGTGAGTTCTCCAAGACCTGAAAGATGATTTTTTTTTTTTTTTTGCCAGTCCTAGGGCTTGAACTCAGGGCCTGGGCACTGTCCCTAAGCTTCATTTGCTCAAGGCTAGCACTCTAACCTCTGAGCCACAGCACCACTTCCAGCTTTTTCTGTTTATCTGGTACTGAGGAATCAAATCTAGGGCTTTATGCATGCTAGGCAAGCACTCTATCACTAGGCCACATTCCCAGCCCCTGAAAGGTGATTTTAACCAGGAAGCTGGGTCTCAGGCTCTAAAGATTAGTTCTTTATCCCCACTCGCAGCCCATGGCCCACCTGGAAGCTCTGTCTTGCAGATGGCCCCATCGCCAGGCCCCCATCTGAGCTGCGTATTCCCTTCTGGCCGGGGAGTGGAAATGAAGCCCTGCACGGGATAAGCCTTTCCGGCTTGACTTGGGAAATGAGGAGTGGTTCAGCTGGTGGCCTAAGCCACTGCCTCACAAGCTGGGTGGGGTCGGGGCAGTCTCCTGGGACGCACAGAGCTGCCTCTAAGCCAGAACTCAGGAAGGTGAAAGGTAGAGAGCTTGTGTGTGTGGTCCGGAGCCATGCTTATGCAGAAAGCTTGTCCAGAAAGGTGGAGCTACACAGCAGAAGTTATCTTCAAGGGCCACAGCATTCCTGAGCAGAAGCCGTCAGCGCCCAGCTTCTGATCTCACCACTCAGGACTGGACTCACATCCTGGCTCTGATTTCTTGGAAACATGACCACCCCCCTCTTTCTCTGTGTCTTTGTCTCTCCCTCTCTTTCCTTCCCTCTCTCCCTCCCTCTCTCCTCCCCCCCTCTCTCCCCCTCTCCCTCTATCTTTCTCCATCTCTCTCTCTCTTTCTCTTTTCCTCCTTCAGGTTTCTCATCAGCAACACAGTGAGTCTATCCACACCCTGAGGTCCCTGCTGGCTCTGTGAGCCCCGCCTCAATGTACCCTGGAGTCCCCTGACCAACATCAGAAGCCACAGCCAAGAGCACAGAGGCTTCCAAGCTCTTTCCAAACACCCTGTGCCTGTCCAGTATGGCCTCCAAAGTGCTTAGTGTGGTCACAGTAAGCACTTGTTCCCAGGAGGATGCATGGGGGTGAGGATTTTTATCTGAGGTTCCTAAGTTAAGTCCAGTGTCTCTACCAGGAAGCCTCATGCACATCCCATGTCTGCATACCCCTGCCTGAGCCCTCTCCTTGGAGGGACAAAGCAAGTATCTGATGGCAGCTCAGTTGCTTTTTGTTTGGTCAGTCATGGGGTTTGAACTCAGGATCTGCGCGTTGTTCCTGAGCTCTTTTGCTCAAGGCTAGTACTCTACCACTTTGAGTCACAGCACCACTTCCAGTTTTTGAGTAGTTAATTGAAGACAAGAGTCTCATGGGGAATTTTCTGCCTGGGCTGGCTTCGAACATGATTCTTAGGTCCCAGCCTCCTGAGTAGCTAGGATTACAGGTGTGAGCCACTGGCACTGGGCTTCACTCCTCAGTTTTTGGTACTAGCCAGAAGATCACAAAGTGAGTGAGTAAAAACAACATAAAGGCATTACCTTACAGATATACAGGTCAGAAGTCGGAGCCAGCATTCTCTGGGTCAAAACCAAGACATTGGCAGGACAGGCTCTTTTTGGTGGTCCTCAGGAGAATTGCTTCTGAGTCTTTTCTGGCTTCTAGAGGCTGCGTGCATCTTTGGTTGCTGGCCTCTTTCTCCTTCATCTTCAAAGGTGATAGGTGAATCATTCTCCAGCTCCGCATCTCTCCTGCTGCTTCTTTATTTGCCTCTTCTTCAATCTGCTCTTCTTTTCTATTTTTAAAAAACATTGTAAGCACTGCTGGGGATTGAACCTAGGGCTATGAACATGCTAGGTGAGTTCCCTCAGCAGCCCTCCTCTTCCACTTTTAGGGACTCTTGGAATTAGATTGGGCCTGATATGGTTTGGATATAGTCTGTCTTCTCCCAAACTCATATTTAACTTGATGATCACTGTGGTGACGTTTTGCATATGGAGCGTGTAAGAGGAGATGGGGTAGTTAAGAGAGATGCATGCCTTGCCATGTGACTTCTGGTTCCTGTGGAGCTGGGTGAGTGCCCATGAGAGCGCGTGGGTGGTGAGGTGATCCTGCCTTTGTGTTTGCACTTCTGCACATGCAGCTTGCCCTTCTGCCTCCTGCCTTGAGTGGGAGTCCCCTGCCCTCCCAGGCAGCACGGAAGATCCATACACTTGGATTTCCAGCTTCCACAACCATGAGCCCAAATAAACCTCTATTCTTTATCAGTCACCCAGTGTTCAGGATTCTGTTAGAGGAACAACAAATGGGCCAAGATGGGGCCCAAGATGAAGATAATCTCAAGGACCTTTCCTTACCCACATCTGAAAGCCCCTGGCTATCAGAGGTGCCACATCCACAGGCTCCTAGCATTAGGGCAAGGACGCCTGTGAGGGCCGTTATTTTGACTCCTATACTACCCCACTCTGAGGCCTGAGTAGGAGCTGTGGCACAACTCAAGTTGCTGAGGCACCTCTTCTCTGAAGCCCTTCTGATTGCACCACCCAAAGGTGGCTTCTTTGCACTTCTGTGACCATTTGCACCCTTTGTCATGTTGTGTGGCACTGCTCATGGCTTAGGTCTCCCTGCCTCACTGAGAATACATAGGTGAGAACGTAGAGGCTCGAGAGGTGCCATGGCTGCTTGGGCTCCTAGGGAAGCCACAGTAAATTCTAACTCAGGCCTTCCAGCCTCCCTCCCCAACTTGCTCAGTCAGCCTTTATTCCACAGACTGCCTGTGGTGGGATTGAGTTAGTTAGCTTACCATCATGGTGACAAAAATCCCTGAGACACTCAGTTTAAATGGAGGAAAGGAGTGTTGTGGCTCATGGCTTCAGAGGTTTCAATCCATGGCTGTTTGGCTCTATCTCTTTGAGCCTGTGGCAAGGCAGAATATGGTGGGGGAGTACATGGTAGAGCAAACCTGTTTGTGTCATGGTGACTTGGAAGGGGAGAGTGACAGAGAGACAGAGACAGAGAGAAACATACACAGAATAGTACCAGTGTTCTAATATCCCCTTCGAGGGCCTGTCTCCAATGATCTAACTTGCTCTACCTTCTAAAGGTCCCACTACTTCTCAGCAGTCCCATTAGCTGGGAGTCAAGCCTTCAACCCTCTCACTTCTTGGTGAGAATTCAAGATCCAGACCACAACAGGGTGAATTATGCCCCTCACCCCACCTAGGTTCAGAGGTTGAGTCTTAACTGCCAGTACCCAAGAATGTGACACAACTGGAAAATAGGGTTGATGCACATGTAGTTGACTGAAAGTCATTCTGGAGCAGGATAGAGATTACAGAGATTACAGAATTATGGACTGAGACTTGCATATGGGAGAAGTTCACATGGAAATACAGGCAGGAATTGGGTGATGCTTCTACAAGCCAAGGAAGGAACAGCACAGATGGCTAGCAGCTGCCAGCAGTCAGGAGAGGGGCCCTAGAAGTTTCTCCTTTGCAGTCCTCAGGAGAGCCAAGCTTACTGACACTTTGTCTTAAGGCTTTGGTCCCGAGACAATAAATTCCTGTTTCTTTACCCACCTGGTTATAGTACTTAGTTGCTTTACCATGAGCCAGAGGCCAGATACCAGGGTTTCTAGTCCCAGAGGAGCTGGCCTTCTCTCCCCCAGCCTCCTCTCCTCCCCTTGTGGCCCAGCCATACTAGCCTTCAAAGATTCACTTTAACATCTTTAGTATGGGATGGTAGCCTTGCAATAAACTACACAAGTGCGCAATTTGATGGGGTTGGACAAATGTGTTGCTACACCTCATGAAGATAATGGGGTAATAACCCTTAAGTTTCCTCTTGCCCTCCTCTGCCCCTACCTCTCATCCCAGGCAACCGCTGTCACTAAAGATTCATTTGCCTTTCCTAGAAATTGATATTAATGGAATCTTCCAGTAAGTACTCTCTTCTACACTGGGCCCTTCTGTTTCTTGGAACCACTCCTGCCTCCTGCCCTGGGGTCTGTTCACAGCCCCTGTGGCATCCTTCAGCCTCAGTAGTTCTTCGGAGGATCCTCCCTTCCATCTCCATCCTGCAGACAGAAGACCCCACTGTGCAGTCTGCTGGGGTCTCCCTCCTTGCTCTGTGCAAGTTCATGTTGTATGACTAATTAACCCCTGGCTGGCCACCCAAATCTGCACCTCTGTGGTGCATGTGTAGACATAGAGGGATGGGGAGAACAAAGGCTTCCTGTCTTGGGCCAGGAGTGTCACTGCAGACCTGGGTCCAAAGCCAGCCTGCCCAGGCCACCCTGCTTCTCTGGCCTGGGAATCTCTTGTGGGATGGAGACAGAGTTCCCTTCTCTTCTCTTCCTTTCCTTTCCTTTCTCTTCCCTTCCCTCCCTTCCTCTCCCTTTCCCTTTCCCTCTCATTTCCCCTTCCCCTCCCCCTTCCCCTTTTCCTTCCCTTCAGCCCTTTCCTTCTCTTTTTCCTTCCTTCCATTTCCCTTCCCTCTCTTTCCCCTTCCCTTCCCCTTCCTTTCCTTCTCGCTTCCCTTTCCTTCCCCTTCCCGTCCTTTCCCCATCCCGTCCTTTCCCCTTCCCCTTTCCCTTCCTTTCCTTTCCTCCTTCCCTTTCCTTCCCCTTCCCTTCCTTTCCCCCTTCCCTTCCACTTCATTTTTCTTCCCCTTTCCTTCCCCTTCCCTTTTCCTTCCTCCTTCCTTCCTTCCTTCCTTCTTCCCTCCCTCCCTTCCTCCCTCTTTCCTCTCCCTCCTTTCTTTCCCTCCTCTCCCTCTTTCTTCTGAATGATGGAGCTATAGGGCTGTGTCCCCACTTCTTTTTTTTTTTTTTTTTTTTTTGGTCGGTCGTGGGGCTTGAACTCTGGGTCTGGGCGCTGTCCCTCAGCTCTTCAGCTCAAGGCTAGTGCTCTACCACTTGAGCTACAGCGCCACTTCCAGTTTTCTTGTGGTTTATTGGAGATAAGAGTTTCATGGACTTTTTTGTCCAGGCTGGCTTTGAACCTTGATCCTCAGATCTCAGCCTCCTGAGTAGTTAGGATTACAGGTGTGAGCCACTGGCGCCTGGCTCCCACTTCTTATTAACAAGCCACTTGGTGGCTCAGCCAGACTGGAAAATCAACAGAGTGAAGATCAGTTCTTGGAGGGAGCCTGGTTCTGGTCTAGTGTTGGGATATTATTAGCTGAGTTCTCCTAAGTCCTCTTCCTGGGACAGACCCAGGAGAGCCCAGTGGACCCAGCAGGCAGAAGGCAGAGCTGACAGGCAGGCAGCCTGTAGGGGGAGTGGGTTTTCCCCTGTCCTGTCATCAGTGAAGCCTCGTAGCCTCCAGAGCATCTTGGACAGTGTCCTGAATGCAGGCAGGACTTGATTTAGGCCAACAGCTATTGGGACAGGCTTGGCCAGGGGTCATCTGAAGGAACCTTGAAGATGAGGGCAAGGAGGATATAGCCTCTGAACACCTGGCTGAGCCAGGTCTTGGTGGGACTTGGGCTTAGTGTCAATTCTGAACATTGTAGTCTTTTTCCCTGCAAAGTTATACAGTATACAACCCACGACTCCCTGTCTGGGCTGCTGTACTGTGGGTTGTGTTTGAAGGAAAGTGCTTTGTCCTTTGAGAGCAATGGGGAAAGGGAGGAGTGGAGGGAAAAGCTGGTGATCGGCAGGCAGAGTAGAGGGCACAGAGCACAGGGCTCAGTTAGAGTTGAGGGCCTCAGGGAAAGTCTGCTGTGCCTTACTGGCTCATGGTGTCATGGTGTGTGCATTGGAATTGGGGTTGTAGAATCTTTCTTTGTGTTCTGAACAGGATGGACAAGCTATTGCTCTAGTTTTTTTTAAGTTTACTTTATTGTTATTATAGAGGTGATATTCAAAGGGGTTACATTTACATGAGTCAGGTAAATAGGACCTTTCCTTTCATACAGTGTCACCTGGTCCTTCATTCTCTCCCCTTCCCTCTCTCCCATCTCCACCCACACGTTGTATGACACTTTTATCAGTGTCCAGTGTGCTTCACTGCTGCACTTTTTCACCCTTTGCCCTCAAATTCGGTGCCCTCCCCTCACAGATCTGCATGTGAATACACCACATATAAGGTAAAGAATACAGAATCATCAGAAAAAGAAAAAATTAAAAATAGTCTTTTGTTTCCATATCTTAGGAGTTCATTTCAGCATGTGTATTATTTTATATAAATATGAAGAGGGCTTAGGCATTACACCTTTGTGATTCTCTCCTAAGACTATGCTCTTTATTGCTCTAGTTTTATCCTCTGGAGCAAGAACCAGATGTGAATTACAGGTTTTCTCATTACAATGGCCAGAGAGAGAGGCCCCTGAGTGGTCATAGCTCCAACATAAGCCTTGGATTAACTGGGGCTGCTTGGGGACAGTTAGGAAATCTTTATGTTTGGAGGGAAGAATGACACCCACGAAAACCCCTAGAACAAAATGGACTAAATCTGTCTTTTCTGAAAATTTGCTGGTCCAAAAATACTGTCTGCCTTCACAGTCCTCTGACACATGCAAAGAAGGTTCCAGATGCCCAAAGCCTGGCACCCTGCAGCTCTGTTGATCTCCACTGACTCCCACCTCCCCCTGACTTCTCAGGGCAGCTCCGCAAAGAGAAAGGTAGCATCTTGGAACTGTCACCAGTGGGCCATGGTCTCAGAGTTACTTGGAGAAACAGCAGGGTGGTGATCACAGGCCACTTCGGTTCTCTGGGGGTGAATTGTGTGACTTTCAGTTGGACTCCTGACAGGTGAACTTTGGAGTTCATGGGTCAGTATTCTGGAACCTTCCACTTCAATTCAGGGCTGGCTTGTTCCTGGGCATCATGCCCTGGACAGGAAGTATCTCCATGAGTATCTTAACACCAGCTATGTAAGAGCCCTTTGAAAATGACAGACACAGGCCAGTAGGTCTTCAAGTGTGGGGAAGGAGATCAGGCACCTGGGGCGTTGAGGCTTATATTTGAGACTCGACCAGCCACCTGCTTGAGCTGCTCACTGGTAATGCTAACAGCAGCCCCAAGAATGGTCTCTCATTTAGTATTTATACCTGAGTCCTAGTGCTGCATCTGTGTAACTTCTTCCTGGGTCTTGTGGGTCTTGTGTCTGTGACAGACACTTTCAAAGAAACACAGCTTCTTCCTGGGTCTTGTGGGTCTTGTGTCTGTGACAGACACTTTCAAAGAAACACAGGAGTCAGAAAGGGAAGTTGAAGTGCAGGTACAACATCTGCAAGTCTATCTAAGGCAGGAGTCGAATCCTTAGCCCCAGTTCTGGGTTCTTCTGACCTATTTCTCTACCCTCTGCTCTCTAGTACTGCATGGAGTGTTGAGTCTTGCGATTAATTACTTCGGCCCCACCCCCAACACCCAACTCTCTTAGGAAATCTGTGTGTTGTCTACTCTTTTTTCTCATCTGATTACATATGAGGCAGATTCTCTTTCTACTATTGGGTCTTGTTTGGGCCAACTTTCACCTTGTTTGGTTGTCACCAAACCCACACGGAGTTGACAAGGGGATCATTTTTTGGGGGTGGGGTTTGGAGAGTAGAGATGGCAAATACTTAAATACTTACATTTTAACACCTATAATTTGCTTTCTATCACATGTATTATTCCTGATCATTTCCCCACGACAACCCAGTGTGGTCCATTTTCATAAGCTAATTTTATAGGTTAATTGATAGTTCTCACTGCACTGTCTGGAATCATCAGCTCTTTGTTTCTGGTTATGTGTGGCTTGGAACGCCATCTCTTCTGTCCTCGTGGGCCTTAGTCTCTCATCTGGAGTTGGAGGAGTTCTGTGTTCCTTGTTTGTAGCACTGTGAGGTATATGAGAATGAATCAGGTAGAGTACTTAGCTCACCTGTGGCTCCTTGTACACATACAGTGAGTGTGTGAGCATGTGGTGTGTGTGTGTGAAAGAGAGAGAGAGAGAAAGAAAAAGAGAGAGAGAGAGAGTGAGACTGTATGTGTGTGAATGTGTATGTGAGTCCCAGGCTGGCTTATTTCTCCCTTATACCTTAGGCTGTAATACGGCATGCTGGCCCATTACTTTATCCTGGACTCCTCCAATGTATGTCACAACTTCTACTCTAGAGATTGCCAGATGACAAACTCTCAGCTGTCCCCAGGCTCAGTTCACTGGGATTCTCCTTGCTGTTCATGCTGCCCACTTAAAAGCCATTTAGAGCCCATGCCTTGACAGTTCTGTGATTGGTTCATAACCTGTTATCTGACCACTGAAGTGATTTGTGTGGCGTCTTTGCCTTGATTTTCAAAATCCTATGTCCTTTTTACTGCTTATTCAACTTGTCTGTAACCTGGGTGACACATGGGAAGTGTGATTTGAGTG